GAAAAACAAGGATGGCAAAACCATGTCTGCACAAGAAATTTAGCCGGTTAGAAAGTAAGCAAGAGAGAAAAGCATTGCTTTTACACTGTGATATAAAATTTTAGGTATGAATTTTGACCAATCTTATTTATCCGTGAACACACATACCCCTCCTTCCCCCTGCTAAAAAAAACCCAAACAAACAACATTGCTGCAAATGTTAGAGAGTTCCAGCTTTAAGTGCTGTTTGCGGTTTTTTTGATGCTTGAAATTTTGATGCATTTCCAGCTGGAATGTTTTTTTTTGCCTATAATTTTGTAAAATATTCTAAAAAACACACCCAGCACATTCTTTAAAGCCAATGTCTAGAATTAAGTTTGCTTCAAGTAAATAAGACAATTTGACTTATTTCACTTTTCACAAACAGTGATGAAGAAGCAAAAAGGTAATTCAGATGTTTTTTAAGTAATTGTCTTAAATCTTGGCATGCAGAGGAAACAGATTTGCTGCCTACATCTTAGGAAACATTTCAACCACTTTCTCAAATCTGTTTTGCAGAAGTAATAACCAAAAGTTTGCCTACTGTTAACATCATAATGTTAAGAGACATGAGAAATCTGGAAAGCAGAGATGAAACAGCAAGTTACTATTTCTTCCACTTTCAGGAATCACAAGAGACCAATTATAGTAATTCCTCCAACAAGACTTGAAAGAAAGAAATCTGAACCCCCATAACTTCTCTACTCTCACGAAGCAAATATGAAGACAAGATAGCCAGACAAGCATGAGCTAGAGTAGTAGCAGACACTATCTCAAATTCCCACATGTGCATAAATTTCCTGAACCTGAACTTGCATGGGCCTGCAGTGAGCATTTATGTGGAAGACTATTGAAGTCAAAAGATCTCATCACTTGAGTGAAGCTCTAGCAATTAATATTTAGGAATTATTTTGCCAAGAATGCCTAGGGAATTTCCACAAGTAGACCTTAAAAACACAGAAAAGAAGGTATTATCCATTACAAATGAAGTTGGGAGGCTGCTTTTCTTCTCAAAATTAAAGCAACTGAATCTAGTATCTCTTGAAAGATACAGCAGTTCTGCAAGAGAAAATTACAAAAGTGCAGTTTAGTCTTTTAGCCTACTGAACTTAATACTCTCTTTCTACAAATCTTTTGCTAGAGGCTAAAGAAAACTGAGTACAAGTTTACCTGACTAACATATTTGCATCTTCCACTCCAGACAACACAGGTATGCACAGGAATACTTTCATGCAAGCCGTCTACAAGCATTTACCTGTGGGGGTTGAGGGCTAGATTTATACAAGTGCTTAGATGCTCAAGACACCACTCTACCATCATCTACCCCTACAGGTGGCAGTTTTCCCCTAATCCCTTTGTTTTCCAAATAAAACCCATAAAACAAGTCGTTTGTAAGGGATGTATACCATGGGGCTGTTATGGTCTGTGCCAGCCTCAGTGGGACTCTCAAACAAAGCACTTCCAGATGGAACCACGAGGTTTCCAACTTGGTGTGTTCTTCACTTTTGGGCTCGATCCAGTGAGTCTTCAGACCTGGACTAGAGAGCACACGAAACTGGGTAAGGTCTCTCACAAAGCACTGACAAGATGATCCTCAGCTGGCATGTGGGAGAGAAAAGTTCAAATCCTTCCTCTGCCTCTTCTGGAGGAGGAACTTCAACTTTTCCTTGCCTTACAGAAAATTCCTTAAACACTGGGTGCTCAAGATGAAGAAGGCAAAGGGAAAGGAATCTTTTAAAATCTCCTATTGAAGCAATTGCCATTCCATAAATTACTTGAAATACTAATAACACAATGAACAGTTTGAAAATATTCCCACAGTCACAGAGTCATAGAACTGTCCAGGTTGAAAGGGACCTTTAGTCCATTGGTTTGCATGTTTTATACAAGTAACCGAAATGACAACCCCTTTCTGCACACTTATGGTCACGTATGATGTCCTCAGCACAGGACACAGAAAGACCTGGACTGCAGAGCAATTAAAACCACAGCAGTTGATGCATTTGCCTACGGATCCGCCGTCAAAGCAACAGTGGGGCTTACATGGCTTTGGTTCATAATTCTAGGAGAAAAGACAAAGCCCAAACAGAGGGAAATTTTTGTCTCTGACTTACAGATTCTCTGTCCTTCTTTTTGCAGAAGTTGCAGAAATGCTTAAAAAACCCCAGACATGCAGACTTCTCAGTCTATACCACAAAACACACTTCCAAATCACATTCAGCAGCTGTTCCACTATCTGCAGTAGAGCAAACCCATAATAGGACAATGCAGCTGGATATTCTACCGACAGACATGGGCAAGTTTTGGACACAGCTGCCTTTATTTTTCAGTCCTTCCCAGGTCTGGGGGAATACAGAAATTGAATCTAGAAAAGGTTTTTATCCCGAGCGGACAATATATTTGCACTATGTAGAAAACAAAGGAGAAGTACTCCTAACTTCAGAGTTCATCTTTTTAAAGGCATGGCCATCAATCAGGCCACTGTTTCTACCACTTCTAAGGGCACTTTGGGGTCATTTTACTGCACAAAGAAATTGTACACTAGAAAATAAAACACTTAAGAAAGATACATCAACTCTATTTTTCAGATGATCTATTATCACCAAAAGATATTTGTTTAGTCTACACAGACAATAATAATTTTCAGAACTGGCAACTATCCCAGATAGTAAATTTAAAAGAAAGCTCTTACCTTGTAAGAACACCAAACAGTTCATATTCTCACCTGAAGTTTACAATTAGGAATTGAAAAGTTATACCTTGTTACAAGTAATTTTTAGAGTAATAAAGTGGCAATATACTGGGCGTAAAAAACACCTTCCTCGCAGTTTTCCTCCAGTTTGCTTGTTTTGTAACAGGAATGACAACAACGAACACATAACCTGGTTCTAACCGTGCCCCTATCACAAACGTGGACACTGAGGAGACCATCCTCTCAGCCCTTGCCATTTTCTGATGGCAAGTACGTACCAGGGATAATGCTGCGTAGAAGGCAGTGTTAGCCCAAAGGTATTAGAGCATTAGCACCTGCACACAGGCCACCTGTACATTTCTCCAACCAGCTCCAGGACAGGGCTCTGGCACAAAATACACTCTACGTATGTCACGCTCATGCACTGCTCTAGTGGAAGCCCATTTAGATGAACTTGCTCTGGTTCAGTATGGTAAACCTAACCAGTAAGAGCAAATTCAAACGGAACTATAAAAGAAACAGGTTTGAGTCAAGCACCTATCTTATTTCCAATTGTCTCTTCAAAGTCTCATCTCCAAAAACACTACGGGGAGGAACTCTACACAGCCTTAAGGCTTGAGGATACATTATTTAAATAGTATATATATTCTGCTAGTTCTTTCCGCCTAAAAAAAAAAAATAATCTTTCCCTTAATTTTTTTTTCCAGAAGCTTAGCGATAATCCTATTATTAGTCGACAAGTCACTTTAAAATGCCCTACTCCCAAACATGAGGCATTACCACGACCACCTTTCTCTCCAAATTTAAAATATTTGAAAGCTGTTATCAGAACACAATGCCATAGCAGCTAGCAAAACAACTCAAAGGTTACACTGCACACTTCCCTTTTCTCTTCAAAATAATACTAAGACTGCTTAAGTTTCCACTCGCAATTTTCAAGATTCGACAGCAGAATGAAAATATGACTTTGATGCATGCAATTTTTATGAAAAGCTTACTTTCTTAAATAACAACAAATCGTGCACTTCATACCAACTCTATTTCCTCAGATTTTCCCAGCAATAATCCATACCTCCTGGAAGCCTGCCTTTCTGATCTGTTGCAAAAACTCTTCCAACTCTTCTATCGTCAAACTCAAGGTACTGTTGCAGATGCAAAACCCCTGGAAAAGTCACGTAAGGGCACAAAAAACTGATCCACCGTGACTGACAATTCAAGCTCTGCCTCTTGGGATAAAGAACGCTACTTATTAATCCCCAAAACAATTTTCAATAAAGTTTATGCACTTTCTCAGGTAACTGTGACAGTCATCCATTTCTACAGAGCAAACGTGATGTTCTCTTGATCTTTTTTACAGCTCCAATCCCCACACACCCCCTGATCTTCAAGTTGAAAACTACAAATAAGGAATATAACAGCAAAATGAATGAATGATGGGCTAGTCTTCTCACAGTGGTGAAGAATATATGAATATCATTAATTTCACAGCAGAGAGATAATCTACACATATATAGTACTACAAACTTTTATTTGTCTGAACAGGTGTCACTAGTTATATAGGATGATTCTTTCATTTTTGGAGTTTCTTTCTCTCTGACAGATCACAAAGCGCCATACCAATAGCAATCTGAACCCCAGAAGCGTGTTTTAGCTAGAAAGATGCTGAAAGGATAACAGGTGAGTAACATCTTTTTATGATAATAATGGCAAAGGATGAACAACTCCAACTAAGAACACTGTGGCAGACCATTATTCTTGCAAAGGCACCGAGAGAGTTCAGTGCATGGCTGAACTGAGAAACCCCAGCAGCTTTAAACATCTCATCTGACTGCCTGACCCTGCGAAATGCAGACACTGCCACATAGACCTGAAACAAGGCAGTCAATCAGAGGAGTACCTGCATCTTCACATGACTTGGTATGTATTATCTGCTAGATCAGAGATTTAAGATATCTAATGTACATCAAAAAGTAGTAGACGTTTTCCTACCACCTGATCTCCAGGGTTTGTAAACAAGCCCATTAACCTTTAATGTATCAGCAGTATAGGCAGATGTGTACACAGCCAAATGCAGCAACCTCTGACCAGTAGACCTTTGGCACATAATGAAAACGGTCACTGATGTGTTTTACGTATTTTTAGCAACAGTTTACCTGAGTAAACACAGGAAGATTTAACCCAAGGCCAGCCAGCCAGACGCAGGGAAAATTTAGTGCCGGGTCCCTACCCCTGTGTGTGTATCGCTGATACGTTAAACTTCATCGTTTCAGAAAGCAAGTAAGGGTGTTACCTTTCTGGACGTGGATAATGTCTGGAAAGTTGGCCAAATGCCCCTGATACAGCGCTAACAAATCCATCACAGGATCTAGGTCCTGCCGGGGCTGATCTGCAAAGAGGTCCCCGATGGCGTCGTAGGCTTCTGCAGTGAAGGCTATGGCTTGGTTGAGGCCAGCCGAAAAGGCGTGCTGGTCCAGCTCAAATGCCTGACTAAGGCACTTAAAGGAGTGCCCCACCTTCTGGTATTCCTTCTTGAAACCAGTGACTTGTTTGCGGGCAAACTCATTGGCTGTGTGATTAAGCTGCAGGGCGCTCTCATCCATCTTCTTCATGAAGGCTTTGAAGCCATCCACCTGGCTTTCCACCTCCTGCAAGTCCAGGCTGGCCCCAGGGCCCGTGGGGACACTGATGGTCAGGAAAAAGTTGGCACCCACCATCTCATCCTTTTCAGCCTTGCGCTTGCCTTGTTTCCAGGCCTTCTCATCCGTGCTGGGACAGGTGAGGAAGTGCTGGAAGGCATCGCACTGAGCCAGCACGGGGTGGCTGCACATGTGGTCCATCCACCAGGCCAGGCCTTTGCGACGTTTGGAGATGAAGTCCTCCTCAAAGCGGCCAGTGGCTTGCTTCTCTGGCAAGTGGGGCACAGAGATGACAGGGAACTTCTCAGCCAGGCGCCCATAGAGCCAGTCAAAGTGCTTATAGCGGCGGTGCACCTGCTGCCCGGTATGGCTGGGCACCAGCTTGTAGGCAATGTAGCTCTTCATGCCCTTGAACTTGGTCTGCTTGGTGGGGTCCTCGATGGAGCACTGGAAGGGGGAGGGGGTCTCCTGCCACTCGCGCCCC